ATCCCCTTGTTCTGTTCACACAAATGCCTCTTGGTCTATGTACAGGTTCCACATGAGCACAATTAATTGTTCAGGAATTCCCATTCTTCACAATGTTATCCATAAATTCTTACAACCCGCACAGTCATATACCTTTGCATAGTCAGTAAAACACAAGTAAACATCTTTTTGGTATTCTCTGCCTTCAGCCAAGATCCATCTCACATCAGCAATGATATCACTCATTCCACGTCCTCTTCTGAATCTGGCCTGAATTTCTGGCAGTTCCCTATTGATCTACTGCTATAAATGCTACTGAATTATCTTCAGCAAAATTTTACTTTTGTGTGCTATTAATGATATTGTTTGATAATTCCTGCATTCTGTTGGATCACCTTTCTTTGGAATGGGCACAAATATGGATCTTTTCCAGTCAGTTGGCCGGGTAGCTGTCTTCCAAATTCCTTGGCATAGACTAACAAGCACTTCCAGGACTGCATCCGTTTGTTTAAACATTTCGACTGGTATTCCGTCAATTCCTGGAGATTTGTTTTTTGCCAGTGTCTTCAGTGCAGCTTGGACTTCTTCCTTTAGTACCATCAGTTCTTGATCATATGCTACCTCCTGAAATGGCTGAAGTCGACCAATTCTTTCTGGTACAGTGACTCTGTGTATTCCTCCCATCTTCTTTTCATGCTTCCTGCATCATTCAGTATTTTTCCCATAGAATCCTTCAACATTGCAACTCAAAGCTTGAATTTTTTCTTCAGTTCTTTCATCTTGAGAAATGCTGAGCATGTTCTTCTCTTTTGTTTTCTAACTTCACCTCTTTGCACAATTCATTATAATAGTCTTCTCAGGCCACCCTTTGAAACCTTCTCTTCAGCTATTTTACTTCATCATTTCTTCCCTTCGCTTCAGCTACTCCACGTTCAAAAGCAAGTTTCAGAGTCTCTTCTGACATCCATTTTGGTCTTTTGTTTCTTTTTTGTCTTTTTTTAATGACCTTTTGCTTTCTTCATGTATGATGTCCTTAATGTCATCCCACAACTCATCTGGTCTTCAGTCCGGACTTGTTCTGACTGATGATATTGAGCTTTTCCATTGTCTCTTTCCACAAATATAGTTAATTTGATTCCTGTGTATTCTGTCTGTCGAGGTCCACGTGTATAGTTGCCATTTATGTTGTTGAGAAAAGGTATTTGCAATGAAGAAGTCGTTGGTCTTGCAAAATTCTACCATGTGATCTCTGGCATCGTTTCCATCACCAAGGCTATATTTTTCAACTACAGATCCTTATTCTTTGTTTCCAACTTTCACATTCCAATCACCAGTAATTATCAATGCATCTTGATTGCATGTTTGATCAATTTCAGACTGCAGAAATTGGTAAAAATCTTCAATTTCCTCATCTTTGGCATTAGTGGTTGGTGTGTAAATTTGAATAATAGTCATATTAACTGGGCTTCCTTGTAGGCATATGGATATTATCCTATCACTGACAGCGTTGTACTTCAGGGTAGATCTTGAAATGTTCTTTTTGACGATGAACATGACGTCATTCCTCTTTGATTTATCATTTCCGGCATAGTAGACCATATGATTGTCTGATTCAAAACGGCCAATACCAGTCCATTTCAGCTCACCAATGCCTAGGATATCAATCTGTATGCAGTCCATTTAATTTTTGATGACTTTCAATTTTCCTAGCTTCATATTTCATACATTCCAGTTCCAATTATTAACGGATGTTGGCAGCTGTTTCTTCTCATTTTGAGCTGTGCCACATTAGCAAATGAAGGTCCCAAAAACTTGACTCCATCCACGTCATTGAGGTTGACTCTATTTTGAGGAGGCAGCTCTTCCTCAGTCGTATTTTGAGAGTCTTTCAACCTGAGGTGCTCATCTTCCTGTACTATATCAGACAATGTTCCACTGCTATTCATAAGGGTTTTCACTGACCAATTTTTTAGAAGTAGATTGCCACGTCCTTCTTCCTAGTCTGTCTTAGTCTGGAAGCTCTGTGGAAATCTGTCCACCGTGGGTGATCCCACTGGTATCTGAAATATCGGTGATGTAGCTTTCGGCGTCACAGCAAGATGCAAGCCACCACAGTACAACAAACTGACAAATGCATGGTAGTTTTTGAAATTTAGGGAAAAAAAATAAAAACTCTCAGTCTCTGAGATACAAGCCAAGCCTAATTAGTGTGGACAATACAACCCGTTACCCAACTTCAATGGTCTCTTAAGTCTTCAAAAGAAAGAATGGAGCCAGATAAACACTGCAACATAGTAAACACTAAGGAAGCTTCCAGGGAGGCCTTAATAGGGACAAGGTGCCTTTAGAGAGTCTGTGACTAACTGCGTTATTCCAGAAAAGTGTTTTAATGGCTCTGATACACGGGTGGCAATTGCTGCTTCTGATTAAACAAACCTAAAGCTAAACACAAAAACAAAGAAAAGACAAATCCAGTTTCTGTAAAGATTTAACATTTTAACCAGTATTAACATTTAATAACTTTAAAGAATCCAGAGCAGAGACAGGAAAAATAGCACAGATTTCTACTGGAAACTATTCAGTTAGGAAATTTTGTCAGTACTGCAGTGCTATGGACAAGTGTATACAGTTTGATTAAGCTGTAATATTTATGGGCAGTACAGCTATTGAGAAGTCCCTGGGTGGTGCAAATGGTTAATGTTCTCGGCTGCTAACCAGAAGGCTGGAGGTTTGAGTTCACCCAGAGGCACCTTCGATGAAAGGCCTGGCAATCTACTTCTGAAAAATCAGCCACTGAAAACCCCATGAAGCACAGCTCTACCCTGACACACATGGGGTTGCCATAACTAAAATTAGCTTGAAGGCAACTAGTTTTTGGTTTATAGCTATTGAGCTACAGCTCTTGACAGAGATATGCATGGCATGCCTCAATGTCTAAAACACATCTTCAGTTCTTCTCCTTAAAACTCAGGCACAGAAGCTTTGAAGAATGACCTGTCCCCTGTCACCACCACCACCACCACCACTTTCACTACACGCTCATCTTCTTCATGGGAAGCACACGCCATCAGAACCCACAAGCAGGTATCATTCTGAAGCATGCATCAAAGACATCAATCTGAACTTCCAAAGAAAGACTTCAGTGGGAGAACTCACGTCCATATGACGGTAGGACTGCTGCGTTCTTGCCTCTTTATCACGGCTTTGGAAGGAGGCCTTGGGCTTCTGTAAACTCTACAGCCTCATGCTGATTACAGTCAAAATAAGTATTCCCAGGAGCTAAGGCAATCTTCATTGTGAACTGAGGTTTCCTTTAGTTAAACGAATTTGTAGAAAACTATAGCTATGCTACAAGGGTAACTGACACGTCAGTTGATTGTACTCTCAAATGCTTAAAAAGCTCGTATTTTATATATTTTAAAAGTATAATATGTTCTTTGACCAGTGCTTCCAGAATGCTTGGAAACTGTAATGTTTTTATTGTACTTAAATTTTCCAGATTAAGAATTACACTCAATGCTTTAAATTTAAAGTTTCTTCAGCTGAAAAGACATCTTTTAGATGAAGAAAAATAATGAGCATATTACCTAAATATACAACTAACACACTGTTTAAAAATAAGTTTATACTATGTTTCCCGGACCACAGGTAAATCTCTGGAAGTTCTTACTTAGCTCTTCTTCTCAGTACATCTGCATTTATTTGCAAACTGCCAAGCACCACTGGTTTACAGTTTAGATGTTCATAAAAATAAAAGGAAAAAACAAAACAAAACTCTGTGTTAAGCTCTTGTGGGATAACATCATAGATCTAATGCTTCCACTGGAATATTCCTTTTAGAAATGGCAACAAATAACCATAGGAAGTCAAGGGGAAGAAACAGATTTGAAAAACAGCAGGTGTTTAGCTTCCAGTTAAACAAAAACACCAATGAAGACATCCAATGGCTTGAGCATTTTAGGATTAATAAGTCACATCCAAAGGTCTGGGGGGAAAGATCAGAGCTTTGAACTGGTAAAAGTAGCTAGGTCTTGAGATCAGTTGGAAAGACACAACATTCTTGAAAAAGTACCAAGTTGCTTAAATCTTTCAGATTCCATGAGGATGACCAGAAAACTTGGAGTAAAATCTTTGCTCTTGGTTCACTTAGCTGATACAGCATCTTAGGAAAATTTGGCTTTTGGCATTATCAAGATTTGAGGACGATCACTATGAATCTGGGTATCTCTCCAACTGGACGCCTGTCTCACTGTCCAATAACTCACCCACATACTACTTACGCTACACTCCAGTCCAGTGGATCTCAACTTTTTCAAATATGCAGAAATGTTTTAAAGACTGTCGTTGTTGTGTGCCAGTGAGTCGATTCCAACTCATAGCAACCCCAGCTGACAGAGGAGAACTGCCCACAGGGTTGTCAAGGTTGTAATCTTTACAGAAGCAGACTGCCGCATCTTTTTCCCACGGAGCGGCTGGTGGGTTCGAACTGCTGGCCTTTCGGTAAGCAGTCAACTGCTTGACTGCTGCACCACCAGGCTCCTTCTTTTAAAGGTTAGTGGAACCAGACATGACAGTAATTATCTTTTTAATATGTACTGGCTAAGAAAATACATATAAACATAAACCTCCAAGAAATTTACTTAAAGAGTTCTGGTTTATTAACCTCAATAGCATCTACATTCACTTAATAATACATTCATTAAAAAATATAGATTTAATCAATTAAAATTGATTTGAGTTCATACTATATGCCAGGTACCGTTCTCAGCACTTAGGGTACAAATTCTGCCCTGGAAAATATCTTTCCCCTCTTCCCAAAATCTATCTCCCTCCCTCTGTTTCTCAGAAAAGGTCTCACAACAATAGCTACATTTGATAGGGGAATTCTAAATTGTATTGGGTTGTGGGAAGGGAAATCAGAATATCAAGGAAATTTTCTCTTTGTCTTTAGAAAAGATAAAATAAATCTAAAATAAAGGAGAGGGGAAAGGAAAGCATTTGTGTGAGAAATGTCTATAAAATAAGAAAGTTCTTCATAATTATTTTAGGGCCCCTTAAGAATCTGATACCACCCAAACCCAACTGCACCCTGGGGTTAAAAACTAGTACTCTGAGCAACTGTTCATATCAATGTGAATCAGAGAAGCTGTTGTCAATGCTCACACAGGGACCATCTTTTCTTTGTCATCCCCGTATCCTCCAGCAGGTACATGATTCCTGGAACACAACAGAAGCTAAATTAGGAAATTACTGAATGGCTGACTGAAAGAAGGAAGCACTGAAGAACTCTTTTAGTCTCATGCCTCACATACTGAACGCCTGACCATATTTTCTTCTTGGTAACTCCAACATACCCTCCAAGACTCAACTCAGAGGATCACCTTGTGTGTATGTACGTGTGTGTGTGTTTGTCCTTTTTGTTGACATCTAACTTACCCATAATGAAGGACACAAATCTTACATCTACAGCTTAGTGTTTTCTGCTGCTGCACACACCTATGTAACCATCATACAGGTCAAGACACAGAGAGAATGTTTCCAGTACCTCTAGCCAACTCCCTCTATGGCACCTCCTCTTGTCCTTGTAATGAAATCCTCGCTCACTTTTGGTTTGTTTGTGTTGCTTTCTGCTACTTTAAAACTGAAACAGGTTTTGCATAAAACAATGGCTAAATAAACTAATTTCTTTAATCAGAAAGAGCAAACGTCTCTAATCTAGTTAAGAGATACACACTAAAAACAATCCTAGGAATCTAGCAGTATTTACTGGGAGATGAGCAACATTGCCTGGAATAAAATCAGGTAGCGACATTTATTGTAACGGACATTACGTATATGAAAATGTATTAAAGTTTCCAGTTTTTATATATTTTGTCTC